TCAATTCTTCGAGTTGACACAGGTATTGTACACAGGTAAGTTGGGGAACTAGGGATCGAGCCCTGGGATCTGCATCCGCTACTTCGAACTGGTGAATACCGTTTCACTCCCGCCGGCCTAGATTCGAGGTCCTCCGATAAATTTTCAATCCAAGGCAGGACCTTTACCTCGCTGTTGTCTCTCGTAGGCCCGGACTATATCGGGAGTTGTCTCTAGAAGTTCAGATCTCGTAAACCAGCGGTCGTCTTCCGGTTCTTGATAACTAAAATGAACCTTGTACTGTTTCTGCGGACGACCCCTACCTCCGGTTCTGAAGACATCTTCAGCCACTATACCATCAATGTCATACCTTCCATCCATATCTGGTGGGATCATCGATCTACAGGATGGAAACTGATCACTTATTTGACAAGGTAATAACTTTGATGCATGGAAAACTGGGTAAGTGTGGAGGTGTGCTGGGAGTTCTATAGTGTAGGACGGTCCGTCTTCGCCGCCCTTGACTTCTAAGAATGGCCACGGTCCTCTATAGGTGGGCAGTAACTTCTGCGAGATGTTCTCCTCAGGTGTAAACTCTTTAGAACTAACCCAGACTAAGTCGCCTACTTGAAATTGTGAGGGGCGACGATGTTTATTCGCTTGTTCTAACATCCTATGATGGGCTTTCCTGAGGTTTTCTGCAACAGTAGCTAGTTCTTTTTCGTGCTGTACAGCAAACTCCCTGGTCCCGGGCGGCAATCTGTGAATCTGATCGCGGTTGAGTCCCTCAAACGGTCTGCGCGGTCGAAAGGACTTGTGCAGTTCGTTGGGAGTGCGGCAGGTGGCTAGATGCACGCTGTTATTGTACGCACTAGCTACTTTAGGCAACATCTCATCCCAGTTAATCTGATCTGGCCTAATATACATGCGCAGAACTTGCTGCAGGATCTTGTTCATTTGCTCTGTCTGACCGTTAGTCTCTGSATGGCGGCCGGACGACATCAAAAACTTAGATCCGTATACTCCCACGAGTTCTTGCGAATTCTGGCTAGTGAAGCGACTATCTCTATCGCTAACTATAGACAACGGGATTCCATTCTCACTAACCCAACAGTCAAAGAACCTCTGTATGACTAAATCAGTGCGCGCCTCAGAAGGCAAAGGAACAAAAACTGCATTCTTGCTAAAGCGGTCAACTATGACCATGACCTGGCTCTTGCCATGCCTGCTCTTGACTTGAGTGTCCATGAAATCTATTGACACTGAGTCTCCCGGCTGATCCTGAATGGGCAAGGGTCTGAGAAGACCTAACGGGGCACGCGTAGAAGACTTGTTACGCTGGCAGACCTTACAACTGCGAACATACTCTACGCAGTCATTCTTCATCCCTG